GCTAAAAGATTTGAATCGTAAATGAGAGGATTTAGTACGTAGAAAAACGAAGATAGATTCATATTCACATACATAAAAATTATGGAGGAACAAGAATAATCTTGGATTACTTTTTGAAAAAGTAGAAATCCATTTTCTGGTAGTAATAAAACTATTCCAATTACAAAAATTATAAAGAAACAGCCTTAATAAATGAAAAAAAGGGGCATCTTTCACCCAATATCGAAGGATTTGAACTAAGATTTCCAGATGGATAGGATAGGGTATTCGTATATCTGACACATAATTTAAATATGTAAATTTATCTTCCAAAAAGGGAAAAATGGAATGAATTGATCTCAAATTTTTATAAGATTGGAGGATTTCTGCCTCCTCTAAGGAGGAGCTTAATTGTCGCAAAAATGGAATTTCCACGACGATGGCAAACCCCTATGATATTATTTGAGAATCCAAATTCTTATTATATCCCCAAAATCAATTTTTGTTAGAATCATTAGCCAAAATAATTAAATGATTCTGTTGATACATTCGAGTAATTAACCGTTTTACAATTAGTAAACTATATTTATTGTCATAACCTACATTTTCCAAAAAAATGGATCTATTCAAATTATGACTATAAGCAAGTCCATAAATATACTCCCTAAAAAGAAGTGGGTATAGGAAGTCCTGTTGGCAAGATCTAACTCGTTCTAAATATACTTGATATTCCTTCATTTTCTAAATTCGATTTGGTCAAAGATTCATTGGATTATGAAATGATACATAGTGCGATACAGTCAAAACAAGGTATTCTAGATCTATATTCGAATTGAAATAAAAAACAAATATGAAGCGATACCTAGAAAACGAGTTAAAACCTATTAATGGACTATCTCCCCTCGCTTGTTCCTTCTCATTTTTCTAGGACAAACAAGCTAGTTAGCAATCCTTTATTTTTTGGACCAATTGCTCTTTTGATTTAAAAAAAAAAATAAGATCTTTATCAATATACTCTTTCTTCTACACATTTCTTGCTACCCCATAAAATAATGGGGAATAGCTAATAATTAGGACTCATAACAAAAATCGTTAATCCATCATTCGTAGGAAAAACTTTTTCCACAGCAAGCACTAATTCTTTTTTAACGTATAATTAGATGTGATAATCATTCAAATCAAAAATGAAAGCTCGTTGCTTTTTGTTTCCCTATAATTGAAGCAGCTAAGATCTATCCCTTTATTAATTAAACCCAACGGAATTCATTTGTTACGAGCCAACAATTCAAAGAAAAATATTGGTCGGATCAAATATGAATGAAATTTTTTTAGAATTCACCGTTGATACGACATGCTGCTTTTTCCATTCATTCCTTTCTGGATCAGCCGTGGTCTTACAAACCCTACTGATGGTAGGGATGAACCAATTAGTTCATAGAAATGTGTAAAAAATGGAGTCGCACTTAAAAGCCGAGTACTCTACCATTGAGTTAACAACCCTAATCCAATTACAAACAAGGATGTCTATATCCAATCGCAATAAAAAAAGATACAATTCTATAAATAATAGAATCAAATGTTACATATTATGTTACATATTACATTAAATTACAATGAAAAAAATACAATGAATCCACCATTTGATGAAGTAAAAAACCTATCTGACATGAGTCAATCGATCCATTTATTCACGATCGGATTATATTGGTTTGATACACTGTTGTCAATATTAATAGAAAATACTTCTATTTTAATTCATTATATTCCAAATCAAAAAAGAATAATGGACTAGAAAAAAATCTATCAATCCGAAAGATCCATAGGATTCATTTATAGATACAGCAAGTATTCTGTACAGTATTCGGCTCAATCCTTTTAGTAAAAGATTGGGCCGAGTTTAATGGAAATTAATAGAACGAATTATTATTACTGGATTACAAAGTATCCATTGCTGGGAATTCAAATTTGATTTCCTTCCAGACTTCACAAGCAGCAGCTAATTCAGGACTCCATTTGCAAGCTTGACGGATAATTGCATTACCCTCGCGAGTAAGATCACGTCCCAGGATTTCTATTTCTTTTAATCTTTGTTTTAAATAAAATTATCAGACTACAACCAGCAGAATTCTATTAACTATATAGTAGAAAGAAATCAAATCTATTTCTTTATACTATATTCTCTATTACGGTAGGAGTAGGATAAAAATAGAATGTTTTACTAAAAAAAAGAGTTCCTATGGAGGGACCAATTTATCATTTTCTTTTCATATGGATATATGGATATCGATCTATAGATATATATGGAATGTAAATTCCATGGCGTCCACATTTTTCTTTATTTCATCTAAATCTATTCTATTTGTATTGGTTCCAATCAATCTGAAATGATTCAAAAGCAACGCTATTTTTATTCTTCTTAGTTTCATTTTTAGATTTCAGATTCTATATCAGAATCCCGGTAACTAATAAATAAAAATAAAGAATCTTTTTAGTATTCCAAAATTTAAATAGATTAAATGGAATCGGAACCCGTTTCCAATTATTTGATTCCCGGGATATCAAGATGGCAACAATTTAAATATTTGTTTGATTCAAAGAGTTTTTTTTCAATAATATATATACATGAAATATATTACACCACTGGAAGCAATACAAGAGAATTTCCAAATCCAGATAGAATTGCATTTCATTAATTAGTATTAATAAAATAACTCAAATAGTTCAAAACTGGAAGAACTCAGCTATAAAACAATTGAGACAGTTTGATCCCTTAACTCAATTAGTATTACCTTTAAAGTCCACTTCTTCTCCATACTACAAGGGAAAGGGAAAATGTAAAAACTACCATTAAAGCAGCCCAAACAAGACTTACTATATCCATGTCAATTATGTCTCCTACTATATCAATATGAAGAAATTCAAACCTATTATTAGAAGATATTCTCCCATTTTTAGTGAAAAACAAAAAGAATACAAGAAAAAATAAGTATTCGATCGTGATGGTGCATGGTGATACCGTGTATGTGTGTGCACAGGATTACAAGATAAAACACAAAATTAAAACGAAAATGAACAGAGGAACCCTAATTCCCCAGCTCGATTTCCCCTTTCGCCGTTTCCGCTCTCTTCCTCCTTTCTGCTCCACAGTTTCTCTTTCTTTCTTCCCCCTTGTATTCGATCTCTATTTTCTTTCTACGACCTCTTCTCACCTCTTCCATTTCTTCCCTCCGATTCTTCTTCCTGTTGGTTCTCAAATTTCTTACGACCTATAAAGAATCCACAACAACAAACATCAGTTATGAATTGGAAATGTCACTTAAGGAAAACGTTACCCCTGATGAACAATGGAGGTGGCTCATCGGTGAGTTTGCGGTGGTTTAGCGGCCACGGAAATGTAGAAGGGATCCGCGACGGCTTTGGTTATTTGCAGCGACGAAACACTTTGACGGCGACGGATTCTGAGAACCAGATAAATCTTCCTTTCTCTTTGATTTAGGGTTTTGATTATGGGAATTTGTTAATGTTGAGTGTTTGGGGGATTATCGTATCTCCTTACGTGTGTTCTAATTCGTCTTCTTATATAGGGTTGCAGGAGACAGAGCGAATTGAAGAGTATTTAAGGTGTTTCTAATTCGAGCGGTGCATGTTTGGACGGATTTGGAACAGATTGATGATGATGATTCTTCCCTGAGAAATTTTGAATTAGTTTCCATTTTTGATGATTTCTGCTTAATTGTCTTGATATGATGTCACATTCAAATCACCGCTGAGATAATGCTAATCATGAAGTTCTGGTTGTATTAAATGATGTCCTGATTTGTCATGCTTGCTTCTGGTTTGCAGGTGCTGGGAGACGATGGACATTTTCTCGCTGTTGCTTCAATTGTGTTGAGCCCCAAATGCTTCATATTAACAAAAAAGCCAACTGCATAATTGGTTTGTACAGGATAGGGTGTTGTGACTGAAACAGACCAGGAAGTGGAAATCCCCTTTGAAATCTTCAAACTTCAATTGGACCATGCTATACTAACATTTAGCAGCACTTTGTTTGTCAGTTTCTTTGGCTGAGGCTTTGGTGGAAGTTTGGAGCAAGTCCCACTCAAATTCCTTGGTTCAGTAAGTGATTTCTTTATTGTCTTTGATGCTTGTGATTTTATATTGTCGATTGCTTTCCTTCACTTTCAAACCTATCGAGACTTAATTTCTCATGCATTCTGCAGCTTGGTTAACGACTCCATAACGATCGTAGTTTACAATCAGGGCTTGCTGGGTCTGGGAAGTAACGATTACATGACTTGATTCGTACTAGTTCACACGTCTACCGCCAACTTGACAGTTTCTTCACAAACAAACGAGCAAGCGCGTATGGTTCCTTGGTAATAGTGTCCGCTTTAGGAGTATCAGATGCGAAAGAAAACCCAGGAAGCAAATTAGATAGATCCATTTGCAGGCACTCCATGACCTTTCGAACGAAAAGGTTTCTCTCCTTTTCTTCACAACAGTCGGGAACAAAACAATGAAGATTTGAAATGACTTTGACAAATAATGAAGTCCTGTGATATGAATAAGAAGCAGAAGGCATGATGTTACGTTTCATATTCAATTCCAAGACTGTTGAATTCTGTAGATCCATAGATCAACTATTATCCAAAATCCATCCAACTGTAGCAAATATATTATATTCAACACTTGCATCCTCCTCCATTTCTAAGAGATTAGACGAACACCAAGAGGATAAAAAATCCATATAGGAGAGTGATAGTACTGCTGTAAGAACTTTAGTAAAATAAACTATGATGCAAGATCGAAAGTATGTATCATTAGAGAAAATGTCAGCTAGGCGCATTGCATTAAGTTGTAAAAGCCCAATTAGGTATCTTCTATTGGTAGTAGTGAGATGCCCAGGATTTCTTCCAAAAGCAGTCTTCAACAAGTCCAATACCTCCAACGCAACAGATTTAGCCAAATCTAAACTTTGTGATGAGGTGGCTACTTGATCGAGATAAGAAATGTTTTCTGCTTCACACAAACTCAGCAGAAATGGATATTATTTTGGCTTTCAGCCTTGAAATTCCAGCCACGATCCTAGTTGGAGAAGATGATTGAATGTTTAACTTCAAGATAGATTGAGCGAGGAAAAGAATGCTTCCCTTTCCACATAGTTCCTTATTATTGAGCAGGCGCTCCCTAAACAATTTTTGCTGGCACAATGACTGAATAAACTGTAGAGAAGCCTCACATCGCTGGCAGAGAAAATATACTACTTGTTCAGATGAAAGATTTGATTCCATGGAAAAATCTTTGTAGCAAACTATCAATGTAATCTCCAGACTCCTAACAACCACGCGAACTGATCCAAAAGTTGCATCCATAAATAAGTCAACCTTTGGGTGTGCAAGCAAAACATTGGCAATATCTTGAAACTGTGTTGATATAAACCCAGTTATTAGATGTAAGTTGCATGCTAAAAGAGCAGAATGCGAAAGGTACATAAGTCTAGAAGCATGATCTTCCTGTCTGTAGGTACTAAGAATAGTAAGGATGTACAAAACCAAATCAATCAGTTGTTCCACCACTTTCAAATCATGTAGAAAAATCTGATCAAATTTTGGATGTCGAGAGGCTAAATCACATAACGAATGCAACAGACGAATGCCACATAACACGTATTGGAACACATCGTCATCTCTTCTAGAAAAAATTAGTATTGTAGTAAGATGCAATGGAAGAGATTGTGCAAGCTTGCCTATATCAACCTTCAGAAGCACTCCTTTTTCAGTAAGGTAGTGAACAGATAAATTTCCACTTCCAGAATCCTTTAATAATCTATAAAGGTCCCGAGAGTTGAGTTTATGCAATTCCTTTAGTGTTGACATCAAGTTTAATGTCTGCTCACCACTGCAGGGCGGTTCTTCCTTATCAATCCCCATTCTTTTTGAGTGCAGAAATGGAAGAGACGCGGTCGATGGCGACGAGAGAGGGAAAGAAGAGGGATGGACTGAAGAGTGGGATATTTAACCGCTTGGCTTTGGCTAGATGACATCTTCATCGGTCTTTCCGGTAAAGCGAGAAGAAAGCGAGTTCATGATCGATCCTTTGATTGGAGTTTCGGTTCCGTCCAAAATATTAACAATTGTCTTTCTCATGTAGGTCGTCAAAGACAAAGTACCTGTCACTGCTTTATTTTACGAAAGGGCGGATGCTACGAACAAGTCGAAGGAGTGAAAAAAAAACTCAGAGCTGGTTGTATCAGAACAACTCTATATCGAGGTGTTGTTTCGATCAAGAAGCTGTACTTGTCCTTGCGTGGAGGTCCAAAATGGCTGCAGTCAAGTTGTAACAAATTCTAGTATTCTAGCACCATGTCTTGTTTGCAATGCCTTGTAATGACTTGTGTTAGTTTAAAAAAAATGGAAACCTTTTTGTTCTCACAGTGGCAGCAATGTAACGTCTCGTGAGTCACTCGGTTGAATTCTTTGACTTTTACGTATGGCATCTTGGAAGAAATCTAACTCATAGACTAAGTTATAATCCCCCGCAAATTACATGCTTGGTTATGTATCTCCTTAACTTGCAGTGAGTTGTAACTTTCTTTAATATTTGAAAATTAAACCTGTAAACTTGAGCTATAATTATTTCAAGCTCAATTATCAACTTTGAGTTTGGAGTTCGCGACCTGATGCCGAATTTGAAAATATAAACATCATCGTTTGACTTTGACCGTTCTTGGAAGCATAGCGATGAATTCCTCTTTAAACTTCTTGCTAAAGGTGATAACCCCACTTCATGAACAAAACTAGCCCTTTTTTATCTGAATTTGACATGTATAATTCAGGAATCTGGGTACTTGACTTGAACGTTCTCGCATCCGTTGTCCATAATTCGTGCTCCACGCGAACATGACTTTAAAAAGGATCCCTCACTTAATGAACATTCCAGCCCTAGCGTACTCACCAATCTGAATCTTGAATCCACAATGTCTTTCCCCAGAAGGCCACATAAACCTGTCAGAGATACCTTAAAAAACAAAATGATCTCGCACACACTCGTTAGTCGTGAAAAAAAAAAATTAAAATAAAGTCAAATAACAATAGAAAATGCGCAAACAGAGGTGGGATCTTACGGTCAAAAATTAGGGTGTGACAAATGCCCCTATTTAAGTTACTTCTATCCGGAGATATGGAGATAGTCTATTGAGAGTTCTTTACTCTTATTTGATTGATTATTCCATTAGATTAAATTAATCTCTTTCCAATATCAACCATCATTAAGAGGGCAATACTCTTTTCCAATTGAATCAAATAATAATTTCATATGATTCATGAAATAGTTTACATGTGTTGGTTTTAATATATGAATTTTGTTATATACGTAAATCTTTAATTTATTTGTAAATATTTTATATGAGCTCTGTCTTAAATAATTAGCTTGAATCTCTTTTGTCTTCAAACGCATTTTAAAAGTTACGTAAGAGATATTGCCATCTTATAGTTTATAAACATCGTACTAAAAAATGAAAATAGGGCATTTTTTATTTAAAGAATTATGAGAAATTTATGTTTATGTTTTTTTAATTTATCAAAAATACATAACTTATCTATAACTCCTTACTATTAAATTCCTAGTAAAGAATGCTACAATCAATGGTAACAATACAGAAGAGTGGGACTAAGACTAATCAGGCCCAACAAGCCCAATTCCTAGTTGAGAAAAGAAGGCTACAATCAATGGTAACAATACATAAGAGTGGGACTAAGACTAATCAGGCCCAACAAGCCCAAGACAGAATTATAAACCCAATAATAATGGCATATTACTACCAGGGATGGTCAATGGCTTGCAAAAGGTGTTAAGCTCGTTATAATTAGTCCACGTAATAATCTAGAGAGGTTTCCCATAACAGAAAAATGCACAGTATTAGGATGGGAGGAAAATAATTTTACAGTAAGGAAAAATCATCAATGACCAACAGTAAGTTCAAGTGAGGTTTGCATATATGACTCAATAGGAAGAAGGCGAAGTAATAATTGTATGCTGGTGGTGTATGAGTTGTCACAGACATTCAAAGTGAATTTGCAAATCTTCAGCTTGGTTTGTAACAGAAAAGGAACAAAGGCTTTGACTTTTCTGTGAAGAATATAAAAGTGAATTTTCAAAGCTTGTGAATAATCCTGAGCTTTGCACTTCTACTTCGGCGGTTCAATTCTTCCTCTTTTCTGATGGTGTGATTGGTCTTTTTGTGAGAGTCCACCCCGTACAATGATGTCTCCTGCTTCTTTTTAGCCTTGACATTCCTCTGAGCATCACTATCAGATGAATCATCCCTGTGCTTTTTCTTGAGAGTCCCAATGGGTGTCTTGAAAGCTGTTCTCTGAGCCCAAAGTGCGTCTTCTAGACGACGGCTCCAGTCCTTCCTGTTTGGTTACACCATTTTCTCTAAAACCTGTTTGATCTCCCTGTTTGAGATCTCAGCTTTCCCATTAGTTTGTGGGTGATATGCAGTAGAGACTCTGTGCACAACTCCATACTTTTGGAGCAAAGCTTCCATGGTGCGGTTACAGAAATGAGTGCCTTGGTCACTGATAATAGCTCGCGGTATTTCAAACCTGCAAAAAATATTGGACCTGACAAACTCTGCAACAACTCTAGATTCATTAGTCCGAGTGGGGATAGCTTCCACCCACTTTGAAACATAATCAACAGCAAGCAGAATATAAAGGAAACCAAACGATACAAGAAAGAGACCCATGAAGTCAATTCCCCATACATCAAATACCTCACAGAAAAGCATAAGCTGCTGAGGCATTTCACTCTTACGAGTGATGTTTGTACCTGCTATCTGGCACTCTTTACAAGTGCGGTAAGTCTCATAAGCATCTTTAAAAATAGTTGGCCAATAGAAACCTGAGTCAAGCACTTTTCTTGCAGTTCTTTGAGGGCCAAAATGTCCTCCGACTTGAGATGCATGAGAGAAATTTAAAATGGATTCAATCTCATAGTCGGGAACACATCTTCTAATCACCTGATCACTACCAAACTTCCAAAGATATGGATCATCCCAAACATAATATTTGGCATCACTTTGGTATGCGATATCTTTAGCATCGAGCCGACCATCAAACATTTCAAGCTCTAAGACGCCTACTGTTACCATCCACTCCAATGGCACAGTTGTTAGAAGCTTGGTTCTATTACCAAAACAACAGCAATGACATCCTAAATCTGACAAAAACAAAATATCCAAGAAGATGAGTGAATAAAGAGTTTGAATCAGATTCAGAAATGCCTGAGTTAAGATGGAAATCTGTCGTTACAAAATCAATAATCATCAAAAGAAAACCAAAAAAACATCACAACCGACATGAATTACCACGTGTGTTCTTAAGGTTGTGCATGAGCAAACACATTTAAACGCCATTAGACTTGTAATTCTGCAGATAGTTGTGATTGTCCTGCAAATGAATGAATATCATGATGTTACTTACAAGATCCCAAATGAAGACATGAATGTTACGGGTCAAGATTGTCTCCCCAAATTAAGAATAATTTGTCAAAGCATTCAAGAAGAGTTTTAAGAGGGGTGATACATGTTCCAGTATGTTCAAGCAAAAAAAGAAACATCAATTAATACCTATGTCATGAAACTGTAGCAGATAATCCAAGTCTTCAAACTATCTTTGTCACCTTTCCAAAACAGGTCCTAAACAGAATCACTCGAAAATGGAAATGTTTTAGTATCAACAACAAAGCAAACAGAAAAATGTTAAATAAAAATAGAAGGCCATCTTTGCAATCAATACAATCAGGACACCATTAAAGCCATTCCTGATTCTTTCCAAAACAAAGGCCACCATGTTCAGAATAATGTCAATTATTTTCCAAGACAGGATTTCATTTGAAATGATGACAATTAACACACATGTTGCTTATAAAAGGTGATTCACATCACATATTGAGGGGGGATCGAAGAGGAAAGAGAGGTAATAGAGAAGAAAAAAAACCATTACGAAAAAAAGAAGAGTTACGAACCTGCTCACTCAGTCCACCATGAGCAACCGTGAAAAGATACACACTGCCGCGTCATATTCGGCACACCCAAACTTTGATGCCATGAAAGAGAGTTCGTTGACCTCGCCACGGGACATAACTCCGCCGTCATAATCCCGTCCGATGTTACCTTTTGCGAATCGCCCAAGAAACACCTTAAGTGAAGCGATCTAAAATTCTTCGGGCTCACTCCTCATTGTTGCGGCTCAACAAGCCCAGCCAGGTGTAATTTCCCTTTTCTCCTTTGATGCATCGTTTGTTGTGGTTAATCTCGGGTGGGGATGGAGGTCATTGTGTTCGGAGGGTTTGGTCGCATAGTCTTTTGAAGTAGAAGAGAAAGAGTGGAGAGAAGAAGAGGTGGCATCGAAAGTGAGAGATTGTGAGGCGAGAGTGAGAATTCGTTGCGGAAAGAGGAGAGGATTAGGGTTTATTTGGGATCTTGGGGTGACAGGCTAGGTCGGGTAGATGTATCAGCCCAATTTTCTTTTTTGTTGTTGTTGTTGTTGTTTTTTTTTATGCTTGAAGAGGGCGGGCTTTAGGCCCAAAATCACACTTTTTTTTATAAAAATGGAAAAATCAATTAAAAACATTTTATATTTTATTTAAATTCAATAATTTCAATTTTAGCTATTCAATTAACTTTTAATTGAAATTTTTATTTAATTGTTTTTATTATTAAATCTTGATATATTTAACCTTTAATTAAATATTAATTTAACTAAATGAAATCTTAATTAGTTACTAATTAATATAATGTTAATTTTTAGTTTTAATTGATTTTAATCAGACAACTTTTAATTCTGAATGTATATAATATTTGAGTTATGTAATCCTTGGTGGCTTTATTTATTTTAAATCTCGACAGTTGGTTTCAATTAGTTGA